AGAAGCAAACTGGTGTTGGGAAGTGCAGCAGGGCATTAAAGGGAGCACAGCCCAGGGAAAGACTCTTCCTCAGACCAGCAGGGCTGGCACTGAGCAGGAGCTCTGCTGCAGCAGACACCTCCATCTCTTTCTTTCCCTGCTCTGGCTGGGGTTCAGGACAGCACAGAAGCAGCTGCATTTCCTCTCCTGTTTCAGTCCAGTCCTGACACACCACAGTTTGTTCACAGAGTGCTTGCCCAGCCTTCCTCCTGAGCTCCATGGCTCTGGCCCTGCATGAATTCCACCACAGGCTCATGTGCTCACTCAAAACTGAGAAATTGATCCTCCAAACTGAAGATCTGACACTTCCTCCTCCTCATGGTGCTGCCCCACCTCCATCTGTCCTGGCAGTTCACAGCAAGGCCCTCAGACCACAAACAGAGCCCACCAGGCAAAGCTGTCTGGGCAGCAGGAGGGTTTTCATTTTACCCATTGCTGCAAAAGTTCTGCAGCATTTTCACAAGAACACCATTGGTGTTCCTCCAGTCTTAACTCTTCCCTGTTGTGTGTAAGACATTTTGTACTATAGCTTTCTGCTTAAAATTTTAATAATATTGAGATTGAAACTCAGTCACCTTTCTCCATTTCTCATATTTCCTCTAGCATGCCTCTCAAATTTGATGGAGCTTGAAGGAAGCCAGCTCTGCTGCCTGCCTAAAGAGCATTTAGGTCTTCCTTCAGTGATCTCTTTCCCTCCTGCATCCATTCCCATTCCATCATTGGATTAGTTGGAGAAACCCCAGAGTGTTCCAGATGTTGAGTGATCAAATGGTAGCAGAGAGCTTGGATAGAGTGCTGGGGGGGCTGAGGAAGGAGAAACTCAAAACTTTCTCTCTTCAGAGAGGAACTGCCGCTCCCTGCCGTGCTGTTCACAGCTTCCCAATTTGAATCCAGAGTTGTGAAAATGTGGAAACTGTGAAAATATGAGCTGCGAATACTGGGAAGCTGTGAAGCAGGGATATGGGTGGGGATTTGCAATCTCTCTTGAATGCAAAGGTTATAGATTCTGGTTGAAAACCTAATTCTCTGAGAAGTAAGTTTTTGTCACTACAACAGCAAGAGAAAGCCAAAGTGGCAGAATTGTTTTGGATGTAGAAACCTTTGATTTCTTTACTCATAACTTCTGGCACCTTTGCATTTGAGGCAGAGTTCTTGAGACCTGGCCTCTGCCAAAAGACAAATTTCCTTTGAGCAAAGCCAGTTGTCTTGTTTCTGAGCCTGGAAGTGAGAAGCAATAATAATAGTAATAAAACAAACTTCCATTTCATTTTATTTTTCTTTTGAATACTTTGCAGCAAAAGGGTGTGAAAGGTGATGTTTCACGTAGGAGCAGCCTTGGTTGAGGAGCTGTGCCTTGCATTGGCCCAGGGAAAATTGAGTTTGATTTGTCTGAAGTACTGGTGTTGGAAGCCACCTGCTGGGCCTGGCACTGTTGTGTCCCTCAGCTGGCAGTGGTGAGGAAGGACTCACCTGGCAGTGGCTCCTGAAGGAAACTAATTGAAAAAGAGGAAAGCCAGTCATGGATTTAGCAGGTGACTTGCAGGGAGGTGTCTCTGGCTGGTACTGTCAAATTCCCAAGGCCCCAAGAAGCCAAGAACAGCCATGAGCTTTTTCAGCACAGGTCCACAGAATCTGTAGAATCTGCTTTCTTGTGACTCAGAGTGGAAGCAAATCCATCCTTTCAGAGGGAAGGACCCTCTGCAGAGCCACCTCAGCTGTGCTGCTGCCCCCAGGCATGGCAGGGCAGTGGTGCCTTCTGGAGCCAGAAGGGCTTTAGAGATGCAGCACGGGCTCCTTGGGAGCCTTTCCCTGCATCCCTGCCATTCCCAGGGTGACAGAGCCCTGTGCTGCAGTGCCACTGAGCCCTTTCCTTCCATCCCTGCCATTCCCAGGGTGACAGAGCCCTGTGCTGCAGTGCCACTGAGCCCTTTCCTTCCATCCCTGCCATTCCCAGGGTGACAGAGCCCTGTGCTGCAGTTCATGGCTTGAGCCTGCTGCTGGCACAGAGAACGTGGTGGCACCAGAGCTCAGGGGCTCAGGGCTGTGTCCAGCTGTGACCTGGGTGAAGCTGCTCCATGGATTCATGCCCTGCCTGAGCTGAACACTCCAGTGGTGCTCTGGGAGCCAGGGTAGACCCTGCAGTGGTCACCAAGTGGGAACTGATACATCCAGAGGGACCTGCTGGCCCTGTTACTGGGATCTCCTGGTAGCAGCAGTGGAGACTTGGAGCACCCCATTACCTGAGAGTCCCACACCCTCCATGGCTGCAGATAATGGGCTGCTCCCCCTCAAATAAATCATTCCCTCTACCTGAAATCAAGGTAGAATGGCAGGAGCCTGAACTGTGCCTCAGCAAGTTGTCTTGTCCCAAGGCCCTGCACATCCTTAATCTGTGACATGTGCCTAAACTCATTACAAGGTTGGACATCAGCAGGCAGGGTGTTCAGGAGAAGATGCAGTGTTCCTGGGAGAGCTCAGCTGACACTGTACTGAGGAACAGGGACATTGCATCCCTCTAGACAAACCTCACTTTGTGCTACCTTCTGATGCTGCAAAATGGGCATTTAAATTCCCTGCCAGGTCAGCCATTCATCACAAACACGTGTAGACTTAATTGCTTATTAATTTTCCCTGGCTACTGTAGATTTTTTTTCCCCTCAGTGTGTGAAATCTAGAAGAACTTTGTTAGAACCAGCCACAGATGAATTGGCTGTAATCAGTGTTCCCTCACTTGGGTGAGAAGTAACAGTTCATCAGCCCTTAATTAGCTCTGACTTTTTTGAGAGCAGTCTCCAATTTTTTGACAGGGAGATATATATCTTGTTTCTCTTGTAGCAAAACAAAGAAAGTAATTTTGCCCTGAATTGACAAATTGGGCTGTGTTTGTTGGTGTTTTCTTCCTCCTGATGGTGAGTGCAAAGCTGCATGTCTTACCTCGATTGCTGAGCAAATTGTTCAGTTCATGTCTCTTGTCACACAGGAAAGAACAGTGATTGTACAAGGAAGGGAGTTTGAGCTCATTTTAATTAACTTGTGAATGGGCAACCAGCAGTGTTTGGAGTGATACATTAAGGTAGGGAAGAGCTTTTAGATTCCTCTCAGCATCAGAGAAACTTTGTGTTTTGTTTCTGTTGCAGGTGAGTGCAGCATCTCTTTTTATTAATCTGATGGGATCAGCTTTTGTCTTTTTCCCCTATTGAGAAGCACTCCATTGCAAGGTCATAGGTGACTTGGATGCCCTGATACCTGGTGTCTGTAGGGAGAAATCCAGTTTTGGTGGGGAAGGTGCATGACCAGTCATTTGAGAGATGGAGGGATCCCAGTGAAAATGGTTGGAGATACAAACTTCCCACCCAGTCATGTTGAATAAGAACAAATTTCTTCCCAAAGTACATTTGAAAACCAGTTTTTATTCAACATTCCAGATAACAGATTTTTACTTTCTACTTCTGCATAAGTAATTAAACCAGACTTCTGCTAACACCTAGTTTGCTCACAGTCTTTTAAAAACAAAAATCTCTTTGATCAAATTTTAATCTATTAAGCAGCACATTGTAGGGGGCTGCAGAAGGCCAGGCTATTAATGTTCAGTGTTGCTTTGTTAAAATAGCACAGGAATTTTCAGTGTTAGCAACCTGTGGAGCAGATGCAGAGGATTCTTTTCACTTGGTCAATTCACCTGTTAAGTTTTAGCTTCATTCAAATCTGAGAAACCAGTGAGAGGTTATTAATATAGGAAAGCTTGTATGACCCTTCTCAGTCAGTGAATATAAGCAAGATTTATGGATCTGAGCTTTACTAGTTCTACAATTTTAGAGATCTTTAATTGTAGTCAGCACCATTCCCTCAAAAATACTTTGTTTAATAAAGCTTTGTACATGCAGTATGCATTTTTCAGGAGCTTCACTTTCTTTTCTTATATGTCTAGCACCGTGAAGGTAATTTATGTACCTAAATACATGCTGTTTGATTTTAATTGAATAACAGTTTCTTTCCAACTAGAGCTTATCACACATCACCCAAAAAAATAGTAGTCATTTAGATTTAAAGAATAGTTTAATCAGGTTTGCTTCAAAAAGACCCCAAAAGTGCAAGTGTAATGGAAATTAAAATTATTATTTAAGTTATTTTTCCTCTGACTAACTTCAATGATGATTAAAGTTTCTTATGTAAATCTATTAATTGGATCAGGCCAGTCCTGCTATGAGTTCCCTACTGTGCAGTCTCAGCCTGAAGGTAGCTGGCAGTTGGGATGATGGAAATACCTAAAGATGCTGGTAAGGGAGGAGTCAGATCTGTCATTCTTACCCTGCTGTGTGACATTTCTGTCACATCTGAGACCACTGAACCAGGGGTGTAAAAGCACTCTGTTATTTACACTGGAGCAAAAGCAAGATGCATGCCCAAGTAAGCAAATGGGCTGAGAAGCCCAGATGATGTTGGCCTTGGTAAAAAGCACTGCCTTGGAGTCCCCAGGAAGATGTGCCTGTTCCTGACACCCACCTGGGCTCTGGCTGTGCCCAGAGCCAGCCTGGCTGACACCACCTGGGATGTCCCTGGGCAGGCTTGGCATGTGCTGGCAGCCCTGCTTCATCTCACCAGGGCTTTGGAAATAACATGTGGCAGCTTAGGGTTTGTGTAAGCAATGCCAGCTGTGAGGAAAACTTATGAATGACACTGTGACACCTTGAGGATTCAGAAAGAGACCCAGCTTTGCTTCCAGGTGAGGCTGCCAGAGAGGCCCAGACCAGTTCTCCAGCATGAAGGGGCAGGGGGAGGTTCCTCCTCCTGTCTTCATGGCTAGGGCTCAGACCTGAGTGTGGGTAATGCTGGTTGGAGGAGAAGCTCTGTTAGAGCCCTTCTCTGTTCTCAGGGTACTCAGTTGTGCTGCCCAATAACACAGCCTGCTGGATTCCAGCTTGTCTGGCTGATGCATCACCTCTCCTTTTCTCATCTTTCAGGTTATTTCCAGGATTTGTTGAACAAGTCAGAGAAGGCCCTTTATGATGCCTTTCCAAGCCTGTACGGAGAGTTGTACACTCAGAACGCGAAGGTGTTCAAGGACTTGTACAGCGAGCTGCGCCGCTACTACCGCAGCTCCAACATCAACCTGGAGGAGGCCCTCAACGAGTTCTGGACACGGCTGCTGGAGAGGCTCTTCAAGCTGCTGAACCCTCAGTACCACATCACAGACGAGTACCTGGACTGCATGGTCAAACACGCCGAGCAGCACAAGCCCTTCGGGGAGGTGCCCCGGGAGCTGAAGCTGAAGGCGACGCGAGCCTTCATCGCGGCGCGCTCCTACGCACAGGGCTTCCTGGTGGGCAGCGACGTGGTCAGAAAGGTGTCCCAGGTATGCTGCTGCTCCCCTCTCCTCCATCCTCACCTGTTGGGAGGGGGGGTTCTTTTCCCTTGTTTTCCTTGCAAAGCAAGCAGATGCTTTCCAGTTTTAAAAAAATAACTCCTCGAGTATTGTAAACCAAAGGTGACTCCAGCACAGGGGAGAGATGTGACCGTGGTCACAAGGGTTTGCAGGATGAGAGAGAGGCGAGAATGTTGACTCCATGATCAGAAGGCTTGATTTATTATTTTATGATGTATATACTACATTATTACTATACTAAAAAGAAAAGGAAGGAAAAGTTCTCAGAAGGCTAGCTAAGCTAAGAGTAGAATAGAGAAGAATGATAACAAAGGTCTGTGTCTTGGCAGAGAGCGAGAGCAGCTCTGCCATGAGTGGTCAGTAAATCCAAACATCCACATGAGACCAATCACGGATCCACCTGTTGCATTCCACAGCAGCAGATAACCATTGTTTACATTTAGTTGCTGAAACTTCTCAGCTTCAGCAGGAAAAATCCTAATGAAAGGATTTTAATGAAAAGATGTCTGTGACAGAGAGAGGATGATGCATCTGACTCCATCATAGAAAGCTAAAGAATTACTGTATTATACTATACTATGTATATTGTATCCAAACTGAATCTGCCATGCATTCCCTCTTGCTCACAACTGCTCACCCTGCACTCACCTCTCATTCTCTGGTGACTGTCCCATGACAGTCCCACACACACACCTGACCCTGATGGGCCAAGGGAACAAAACATCCTCACTTTGGGTGAACAATCTCCATATTGCATTCTACTTTGGCACAACACAGGCACAGCAAGCAAGATAAGAATTGTGTTTTCCTTCTTCCCTGCTTGTCTCACAGCTCTGTTCAGAGGGCATGTGAATACCACACTCGAGGGTTACCCATCAGAGGGAGGGAGCAGCAAACCTGGACTTCTACAGGCACTGCCAACAGCACTAAAACACTGAGATGTAACTCACAACAAATGAGCTTTTGCCTCATTTTAACCCCTGCAGCAGAGATGTCGCTCAGCCAGGCTGTGAAGCCACTCTGCTGCCTGCCCAGATCCTTTGTGCTTCCTGACATGCCTCTAAATCACACTGCCATGTTTTCCTCCTTGATGGGGATGTGTGCAGAGCTGGATGGCCACGAGTGTGCTGGGAATACAGGCACAGGAATGTGTTTCAGAGGCTGGCACTGGGATCCTGTGGCTGTTTATGTAGCCTGTCTATTTGTACAGCTTCTGTGTACAGAGAGGGGGAGTTTGTAAAGTGCATTGGGATCCTCAGAGATGAAAGGTGCTATATAAATGTAAATTAATATGACTGAATCCAGGGTTGCAGAAGGAAGGAAATTGTCTCTTTTCTTTACTGCAGAAACAGCCTTTCAGAGCCAGAAGAAAGTGATTGTCCTGAAACAAGATAGTCAGGCTTTCCACACAGGTAGCAAGGAGAATATCCATCATAAAAAAAAAAAGGCTTACATGCCTCATGTGGAGATGGGAATCAGCAGGTGTGAGAATCAGGGTGTGATGAAGCTGTGGATGCAGAAATGCAGAAGCACAATTCATCTCCTCAGAAGGTACCGTGTGGTGACACGGAGCAGGGGACGGTCCCACTTAATGCAGCAAATCCAGGCTTTGATCTCAGGAAGAAACATTAATGTGGTAACAGTGACAAATGCTTTAATTTATCAATGTGGGACTATAAAACTGTTCAGCTACCCAAAAGCCTTTGTACATCTCATTAACATCACACTCTCCTAGCACTTAAGACAGATAAAAGAGGAGAATGATGTAATTTCAGGGGGACAAAAGCAAAATACTTTTCATAAATCCTCTGAATGGCAGAGATTTCCAGCTCAATGGGCATGATCCTGCCTGTAGCTGAGGCTGGTGGGTAAAACAGGCTGGCAGGGAAACTGCAGGCATGGCATCAGCCAAGGGGAAGGACCTGAGATACCAACATACAGCAGATTTTTTCCCCCACCTTCATGTAGGCTTCTGGCCCACTGGATTTTGATTCTGGTTGCCCCTTTCTGAATTTTCCTTCTCTTGGGCATCACTTGTCAAACAGGATGTGGGGAACATGACAAGTCACAGATCCTCCTTTTCCCTCAGCTTCCCCCAGTCCATTCCTTCAGGATGGGAGTTTTCCAGGAGGGTCCCAACCATTCCTCTCTCACTGGAGCCCTGCCTGGCATTGCACTTAACCCAGTGTGTTGCTGTTGCATGAACTGAGTCAGAAAACCTCAGCACAGCCTTCTTGAGAGCTGATTTTGTTATGAGGACCAAAACTGGCTCATTTTCCCTGTCTTCTTTACTGCCATTTTAGTTGTGGATTTACACTTGTGTCAAATAGATGTGAAGTGCTTGACTCAACCCACAACTGGTGCCTTGGTTCTAGTCATTTTTCATGTTGTTCTGTACTTGTGACATCAGAAGAAGGTCAGAAACTGGAGTTCAACTTTCCTGTCAGCTGGTAACAGCAGTCTTTAAAAGTATCTTTTTGAGTTAGAATTTCATATGGGGCACTGGCGAGTGTTTTGCTCAGGAGGACTGAGGAGGCCTGTTGAAATGAACACCTAGAAATAAATTAGCTAGCTTTGGACTTCAGGAACAAATAGATTTTATTTATTTATTTGCGAATCCCAGGAAAACTACAGATTTTTACTCCTGGTTTCAGCTTCTGGGACACTTCCAGTTCAGTGTATCCCCTGTATTCTGTCCTTGTCTCAGGTCCCTGTGCAGAGGCAGTGTCACTGGGCACTCCAGAGAAGGGCTGATGCTGTTTGCCAGAGCTCCTGGCTGCCTTTAAGTGGGGGAGAGCCTCCCTGAGTGAGCTACAGGCGTGGATTTCATGAGAGTTCTTTAATCCCTGCTCCCTCTCCACTGTGCCCACAGGGTGTTTCTTCCCCAGCCTTCAGCTGCCCCAATCTCAGAAGAAGCCACAGCTCCAGGCAGCCCAGGGATAGGAACAGGAGCCACGTGTGGGAGCAGCCCTTCTGAGACCTGCTGGGCATAAATAGTTTGAGGGCAGATGAGGAGAAAATGGCAGAACCATTTTTCATCTTTACTGCCATCCCAGCTTTCAAGGCAAAGTCACCCTGACAGACTGCAGGCTCTGACACTAAGTCCTAAAACTTCTGATTGGTGCTTGCTGCACTGACCTGGCCTGGCACAGAGAGCAGTGGCAGTGCTGCCATCTGGGCTGGGACCGGGCTGGGCTTGGTGTGGCTCTGGCAGGGCAGGATGGATGTGCAGGCTGGCACCCTGCCCTGACACACAGTGAGGGCATGCCTGGGGGGTCAGGGCAGCAGTTCATGGGCAGGTTCTGTGTTCCTGTAGCTGTGCTTTCAGCACAAATTGCAGGATTTCATCTAAGTTGCACAATGTTCATCTAAGTTGCACAATGCCAAGTGAGTTTTTCATCTCTGGCATTGACGCAGCAGCCACCAAAACAGCAGCAGCCACAAAATCCCCAGTGCAGGGCACTTGAGGAAGGAGTTCCCCCAGGGATGCTGCATGCCAGGGTGACAGAGAACACATCTCCCAGTTCTGTTTAGGATCCTGTTCGTTGGCTGTGAGATTGGCAGCTGCCCAAAACCAGCATTTGCTCCAGCTCTGAGCATCATGCAAACAGGAGAGGGCCTCGTGCTGGTGGAGTCACTGCCTGCCAGCTGCTGCCCTGAGACCCTCCCTCACTGCTGCCCCGAATCCTCCCTCACTGCTGCCCTGAGATCTTCCCTCTTGCCTTGAGACCCTTCCTCACTGCTGCCCTGAATCCTCCCTCACTGCAGCCCAGAGATCCCTCCCTCGCTGCTAACCAAAGCTCCTCACTGCTGCCCTGAATCCTCCCTCACTGCAGCCCAGAGATCCCTCCCTCGCTGCTAACCAAAGCTCCTCACTGCTGCCCTGAATCCTCCCTCACTGCAGCCCAGAGATCCCTCCCTCGCTGCTAACCAAAGCTCCTCACTGCTGCCCTGAGCTCCTCCCTCCCTGCTGAGAGCAGTTGCTGTGCACACTCCTGGGACAGATGTGCTGGAAGTGACCTGGGATACTGCAGGAGTGGGAGAGCAAAGCTGGGACAGAAGGAATGGCAAGGGCTGAGAGGTAACCCTTGATAAGCAGCAGCAGAAAGCCCTGAGGGAGAGGCAGGGTGACAAACAGTGGTGGCTGTGACCCTGGCTGGGATTGTCCCGTGCTGCTCTCACTGCTCAGCCCCCCTGGGTCAGTTGTGCTGCAGAGTGCCCTGGGGACAGGGGCACACAGGGCACTGCCCAGTCTGTGCTGCATCCCTGGGCACTCAGGAGAGCTGCCCTGGGCAGGCCAGAGTGCCCAGAGCCCTCCAAGCCGCCTTGCAGCCCTGGCAGCCTGTGCCTGTCAGGAGAGCACACACGTGATGCTCCATTTCCAAAGGCAGCAGGAGGAAGTGATTTGAAATGAATTTTGCTCATCAGTCAGAAAATGAGTTATTATGACAATCCTTCCTTTGCTGGGTCTTCATTGGTTCTTGTTTCTAAATTTTAAGTTTTCCCAAGGTAGTGGAGATTGATGTGAAGCAAGACCAGCTACATAAGCAAAAAACATTTACTCAAATAATCGATTTTAATTGCTGTTTGCATTTCCTTTTCTCAGTAGATGTTCTTAAGGCTGGTTCTCATTTGAGTTTGAAACAAAATAAAATGATTTTCTTTATAAGCTTTTTCACTAAATGCTGTATTTCATTTCACCAATGAAAGTTGAAGTCAGCTATCAGTACATTTTTATTTAGCCAATACTGTGTTTCACAATCTATTTCAGCCTTATTTTTTTTAACTTTTCTGTTAGTATAAGGTACATGGCAGCTTTTCTATTTACCACATGAGTAATTTTTAAACACATGGTGGGTCAGTCTGGAAACCAAATTCCAATTAAAAAGTCCTAAAAATAGATTTTTAGAAATGTTCTTAATGGTTAAGTGAAAGTGCTGATAGGACATATGGAAAATAATGTTTATCTA